GTTTATTTATATGCCTTTCTTAGCGGTCATCTATCATTATTTCTAAAGTTTTGGCTGACATGACATATGGTCTCGTGGTATTGTTTTGGACACAACGCTCAACACACAAGCTGTAGCGAGATCTGGTATACGTATTCGGAAACATAAATATAACTTATACTATGTATAATGTATAATGTATGTGTGGTGTTTCGGAGTCGGGGATAAAATCCGTTTGAAAATTCTCAGAACTCCCGGTACTGAAACCCGACATATTGTTTGACTGGTCATTAAATTTGTCATAAAGATTGCTGAAGAGAAAGGGACCGGACTGTACGGATTCAACTAAAATATATCTGTGATATCCTACATCTATAAGGAATTTGTCATTACAAACTGATATAATTCAATATTTTACAAAACACGAGAAAATAAATTATAAAGTGAAATACAAAAGAATGGACTATAATAATACACAAGTGAAATACACAATGAGTTAAAATAATGAAGCGAAATACACAAAAAATGAGCTAAAATTAAAAGTGAAATACACAAAAAAATGAACTAAAATAAAGTGAACTACACAAAAAATGAACTAAAATAATAAAGTAAAACGCCAAGAGAATGAACTACAATTATAAAGTGAAATACAATGAATGAATGAATGAATTTGAATGAACGAATGGACGTAGTTTAACTTTTTGCTTTTCTGCAGAAATACAATGAAACGGAACCTGCACAAGTTAATTATATCTGTTCAAGTACCGTCTGAGAGAGTTATCTATACGATGACTTCTGGGCTTAAGATGTTTAAATTATAGATTTTTCTTTTCTGTGTCTTTAAGTCCATATTTGATGACAATGCCGTCTGTTAAACGCCAGTTAGTTCAATATCTCGCCAGTTTAGATGACTCAAGAACGTCATAAAGACGTCAATTCTGAAGAAAGAAGATTAAGACGCGTTTATGAAAATCTCAATGATAAGAGAAAAACAAACAATGGTGATCTAGTATTGATTTAACGAAGATAGAAAAATTTCCCACTCGCATTAATTTGTCTGCAATATATGCCGGTATTACGCGTAAAAGTATACTTTATAGAACGTCTCTAATTTTGATCCGTTTAAATGGACAATGAGACATTTAAAAAAAAATCGGTTAAAACCTGAGATACTGTAAGATGAATACTCAAAATTAGGTCGAATGGATGATTAAATAAGCCCAGATGACATTGATATGAAGATATATTCACAGCTTAGTTAATTGTAACAGCCAAATTAAATATGAATAGATGATCGCTCGTTCGTTTCTAGAGTTTTACGTCCACTTCCACCCAAGGTGATATCGTAGACAAGGAATAGATGAAATTAATGTTCGAATTTATTTAGGAATCAATCCACTCGAATCAATCAAGTACAGCCACTGTATTATGATTATCAATCAGGGTGTAGTGAGTTAATCTGGTTGACAGTGTCAGTGTAATTTCAAGTCTTATCATCTACAAGTACAATTTACAAACTCAAATGACAAATTGCAATAACTTTATAAAATATGTGCGGATGGCGTTGATGTTCGAACCTAATTCAAAATCCATTTATTAGAGATAAAAGTATTGGGATTTAAATAACCAGCAGATTGCAATAGGTAAATAAAATAGCCAGATGCTGTTATAATGAAAGTGTATTCTAAGTTATATCAAATCCATTCATTAGAATTAAGTAAAAATATTCCGTCAACTCATCAATCAATCAGATTGCAGTAGGCTAATAAAATAGTTCCATATTGGGCGGTATATTCTATGTATTAACGACGATGTAAACATTTTATATCATAAAACATAATTATTATTTAAATTCATTTGGCTCGTTAACTTGAAGATTCCAGGTTCGATTCCAATGTTGGCTGGGAAAGTTTCTCGGGATTTTCCGGCGTGGTTTACCTTGTCTGTCGTGTAGGACTGAGGGTCTGGGGGAATAGCATCTATTCGTTAGGATGAGACGAAAAACCAAGGTCTCGTGTACACATTGATGTGCCCGTAAAACAATCATTGACAGTTCGAATTCGAAATAAGAGTAGGCCGTACCGCCAGTATGCCCGTGTGCAAAAATTCCCTCATAGCACAATGTATGGCGTATGCCCGTCTTCATTAGCCCGAGTTGGGCAGAAAAGTAGGATGTTAAACTCCAGTTCATTTTAGTATTTTCGACAAATCCAACGCTCTGTCTCCTGACAGCTGCTGCTTACGATTATATAATTAAGGCTGTGGATGACAGGACGAGATATAATTAGAATTAATGGAACAGGAAGATAGACGATGTGCATAGAAGTTATTAACAACGTCTATACAAGGCGTGTGTTGTTAATTATTTTCATGTATTTTATATGTAGATACCAAAGAGTAAATTATAGTACATGATACAGTAGTTTATATTGAGACATTTTGTTTAGCGAGTCAGTAATAGGTTCAAAAACTAAGAGATGGATAGAGAAGAAGCTAAATAAAAAGCGATTTTTCGTAACATCAAGGGCCATAATTCAGAAAGGTACGACCATGAGATATGTGCGAATATCGACAGGAACCAAGATCTTTGGGTTATAAACATGCATTTCAAGTTTCATTAAAATCGGATCAAAATTGTGACCTCTAGAGGGTCCACTACCTTGATATACCAGATGTTTACACTATTTGCGTAGAGGGGCGGCCATTTTGTCTGGCAGTTTTCGTCCGATTTTCACGAAATTCGAACTCAAATCATGGTGTAACGGTGATATATTTGAACGTTTTTGTAAATCGGATAATAATTGTGATCTCTAGATGGACCACAAGCTAAAAACGCGATTTTTCGTACAGTCAAGGACCATAATCCAGGAAGGTACGATCCGAAATGCGCAAATATCGAAAGGAACCAAGATCTTTGGGTTATAAACACGTATTTCAAGTTTCATCAAAATCGGGCCAAAATTGTGAGCTCTAGAGGACCCACAACCTTGATATACCATATTTTTACACGTTTGCTTTCGAGGGGCGGCCATTTTGTCCAGCAGTTTTGGTCCCATTTTCACGAACTCAACCGTCATTAAGGTGTAACGGTGATATATTCAAACGGTTTTCTAAATCGGAATAAAATTGTGACCTCCATAGGGTCCACAAGCTAAAAAAAATGTGATTTTTCGTACAATCAGGGGCCATAATTCAGGAAGTTACGGTTCGATATGCGCGAATGTCGAAATGAACCAAGTTCTTTGGGTTATAAACTTACATTTCAAATGTCAACAAAATCAGATAAAAATTCAGGAAGTTACAGTCCGATATGCGCGAATATCGAAAGGAACCAAGATCTTTGGGTTATAAACTTACATGTCAAATTTCAACAAAATCAGATAAAAATTGTGACCTCCTGGGGCCGTAATCCATGAAGTTACGGTCCGATACATGCCAATATCGAAAGGAACCGAGATTTTATGGAGAAAAACCTATATTTCAAGTTTCGTTGAAATAGCATAAAACTTGTGACCTGTAGAGTGTCCACAAACAATTGTGGACGGACGGACGGGCGGACGGACGTCCAGAAGGACAGGGGCGACGACACATGAAAATGTTGGCGTATAAAAAGTCTTGTGACTGCTGCAAAATTCGTCCAGCTCCTTCCGTTATCTTTAAAACCTCATTGCCAGAAAAGACAAATGGTATGATCCTTAACCTAAGCTTTTAAGACAAAATCCTTAATATAAACGTACGTATAGAAAATGCGGTCTAAGTACAGTAGAATCTGTGCGAACAGCCACTCCTAAATAGCGACATCTCCTGTAAGCGGTCACGATAAATTCCCCCCGTAGAAATTCTACGGGAAAGGAAACATTCGAATGGGCATTGCAATATATATCTGCTTGGGCGACATAAATTGGTAGGATCGCCAAACTATTTAAAAAGAATTAGCTTATAGATAAAACAGTAGCATTTTATATGGCTTGCGTTTTCCTTCAATAGGAAATCGATATCTAAGTCATTTCAAACAAAATCTAAAGTAGAAAAGAAATAATCATGTCATCGAACCATTGCTCGCTCGAAGATGGCGTTTAGTGGTTTATGCTAAGTTGGCCATCATCACGCTAGGGGTATCCATTTTTCACTCTTGGCAGTAACATCAAATTCCACTTTCGGGTGATATCGGAGTATTTGCGAGGAAACAGCAGGACAACACGCTACCATTTTCCAGAAAGAGAGCACAATGACTAGATTAGTCTCGGCGCTTCCTTTCTTCGGGTTGTCATTATTAGCCCACTTAGCGCAGAAATGTAGGACGTTAATCACGAGGATGTCATTCATTCCTATTCTCGGGTAAATAGCCTAATTCCTCTGCGACCGAATCTAAGTCTGCAGAGCTACAAAATTAGCATTTCCCATAATCACCGTGCGTTTGCTGGGCCAGTTGGGTAGAACAGCGGAGTTGACTTCCAAGCATTACCGAACGATCTCTATACAGACATGTATTTACGCCGATGATGGAGTATAATACATCCGAAACATAAATCGGAATATAATGTTAAGACTCTTCTGGCCCAGAGCGCTGTACATAAATTGGCGGCTATTATACCAATCCGCAGCTTTCTGGAAGTCGTGATGAAACGATATTTTTTCTGTTCTGTGGTCTATAAAATAATTCTTATCATTTTACCGTAATAAAGATGCAATGGTAATAACATTGCAATTCAGGTCTGCTTTATTGAAATATGTGCTCAAATAATAGTTATCGTTTGTACCAAACCGTTCGCTTCAATGATAAACGCTATAATATCTCTTTGGGAAATGTTAAGTCGTAAAATCTCGACACGAATATCGGCTTTTATTCCGGTTTTTGTAACATCAAGCACATGTATAAAAGTGAGTTTCAGAATATGGCATTTGTCACCACAAACGTGTGATCAAGCAACCATGTTACGTATCAAAAATCCAGACGCGGATCAATCTGTCTGTTTTCTGATGCAAATCCTCACTTTATCTTGTTTTTTGGTTTGTTTCAGGATGAGAAAAACCAAGTCCTGACATTAAATGCCTGGCTGGAGTGGGTAAGGTCATTTCCTAAATTCAATTCAATACTTCCTCTAATCGATAATCAATTATTTCTAGATCTAAGAATCATTTGTTTTATCACAAACTGTCTATTTAAAGTCCACGATATACAGCACCCCGTCGTTTATTTGCATACAAACGAATTCAAACATTTTAACGTCGAAGTCCCGTCTGAGCTAACAATACATACGAGGTCCAAATACTTTTTGGTCTATTCTATTGCTTTTCACCGAGATTCCATCTTAACTAAGATTCAAAGCTTTGTTGCCTTGATACTATTTTCATTTTTACTGATAAAATTAAGAACTCAAGATCAGAATAGAAATGATCTGGAGCAATGAGTCTTTAAATTAATCATTTAAACATTTAAATGGAAGACGTTTGTTAACAGATTTTATAAATTAAACGCAAGGAAATGCATGCAGAACAGTCGTCACTGCGTTATAGCAATGACATTCTAATTTGTTCATGGTATTTTTTCTTTGGCGTTGTCGTGAGCATTTTATTAGAACAACGAGAAAGGTGATCACCACAAGAACACAGAACAAAAAAATGCAAACCCAATGACAGTGACATGAAAATATATAATGAGCTATTTTATTAAGTGACAAAATCAGCCCAGGTGTAACGTAAGATGAATACATAACTACCATCTTGGTTAACCACCTGCATTTCAATTACTTGCTGTTTCCGACACAAACTGAATGTGACCGGAAAATATGTGTAACGACATATTATTTTTCTGCAGCCTTGTTTAATCTTAAGTGGAAAATGTAACCTTTATTCTTAATATGTAAAGTGGCCACGTTTGGTTGGTTATTAATTAATACATGAAATGTATATTATCAGCAATGGATAGATGAAAGAATGACATGGAATCCACAAGATTTTAATGGATTAGAAGTGTTCCGAGTTCCTGCTTCTAAACTGTGGTTGCCAGACATACTCTTATATAACAAGTAAGTTATTTAAAGTGGGGGTTTTTCCGGGTCCTCAGGTTTTCTCCCACTGCTAAAGACCATACTCGCAAGCGAATTATTGAAATAAAATTAAACCATATGTTAGTCCCGAAATGACCTAGTTTGTGTCGAGTGGACGTTAAACTCCATTTCTCTCTCTCTCTCTCTCTCTCTCTCTTCATCTCTTCATTTGCCCCAGATAAATAGGACGTTAAACTCCGTCTCATTGATTCGACCACACTATCGTTTTTGTCGTTTTAGTGATGGACAAAATAGATGGGAAACCTGATTGGACAAAATAGACGGGGAACCTGACAATTAATACATTACTCCAGTAAAACACCATTTATATATAATTTCGAACGGCAGAATCTGCACCACAATTCTCGGAGATTCGGTCACAGAGGTGTAAATAAAAGAGAGCATATTCGATCTGGCGCTCTCTCCTCTGATGACCAACTATAAATACATCAATCGAGCATATTCTCCTTAAAATACGTTTACATATTGTCTTAGGTATTATTATAATATTACACTGATAAGCCAGTTTGTATTTAGAATTATGTTTGCCCTGTATGATCGAAGTTACTATATTTATTTTAAACACAAAAACATTTTGAATATGTTTCTTTTCAGTGCAGACGACTACACTTCCGGTTTTATGAAATGCAACGTCATGATTTTGAGCAATGGCCTTGTTCTGTGGTCACCGCCTGCCAGATTGAGGAGTTCGTGCCACATAGATATCACATATTTCCCTTTCGACAGCCAAGTATGTTCTCAGAAATTTGGTTCTTGGACTTACGACAAGGCTCAGGTTGATTTGCGAAATAAGTCAAACGTATTGGAAGTCAGTAACTACATCACTAATGGTGAATGGACGCTGTATAAGTATACATTAGTCCGTAATGAAGTTAAATATCCAATCGGCGACTCTGTATTTCCGGATGTTACCATATATATTACTATTTATAGACGTATTTTATACTATGTTCTCAATATTTTACTGCCGTGTTTCTGGTTAAACATTTTAAGTGTTTTAACGTTTTGTTTACCACCGGATGCTGGTGAAAAGTTGACTTTGAGTATAACAGTACTTCTGTCTTATTCTGTGTTCATGTTGTTGGTCGCTGATACGATGCCTCCAACTTCAGAATCTGTACCACTCATAGGTAAATTGATATTTTCTTTAAGTAGCCATTATTGCATCATTATGGATTTTAAATTATGGTTGTAACATACTTTAGCAATAGTCAATCGACCTTCCCCGGAACTGTGTTTATTCGTTCATATAGGGCGGAAAATTTGGTAGTACACACAAAAGATCTCTCGGCAGTTAGAAATTCAATAAGTCTACTAGTACGCAGAAAATTTCATTGCACCCGTAACAATATACGATGTATTATTCTCAAAACGACGAAAGCTTTATAAGAACTGTTCACACGGCGCTGAGAAGGAGCCTATGTCTAGTCGTTAGAATGATACAGAAAACCGAGGTCCAGTTTGTAGAGACATTGGGAAATACGTAGAAAAAGTCTTCCTTCCGATCATTGAACATGACGTAGTCATATAAAATAAATCTCAAGTAACGTAAGGGTTCTGTTAAACCATATTCCATTCTGTTAAACCATATTCCATTCCTTTCGTTTCACAACTTATAACAACAAATTAAGCAGTGAAGGCATATGGTAATTAATAATTATCCTTTTCAATATTATATATTTTGTATTTATATATTTTCAGAAGTCTATTTAACCATGTCCATGGCCATGTCGTCAGTCTCGGTCATCATGACTGTCTTGGTACTAAAATTACATCACAGTCCACCAAATCCCACTGAAGTGCCTAACTGGGTTCGATTTCTAATATTGGGTGTTTTAGCAAAAATCATCCAGTGTAAATGTTCTCCCAGAAAGGACAAAAAGAAATCAAACCCCCGATCTGCGATTAATTCCAATAAGTACAAGGAACCAGAAGTGACGTCAAATCTGATCCCGGAACCAACGCCATATTCTAGGAACTCGTTTTCGTCTGATGCATCTAGAGCAGACGATTATACAAGTAATGTGGATTCCAGAATAAATCGACGAAGTACTTCGAATCAGGAATCGTCATCAGAATATCGGGCTCACCTTTATGAACGGTCAGCTTATGGTATGGAAGAGCTTCTGAAATACCTAAAACTCATCGTAAAGAAAACAGATAAAGAAGCCGAGGAGGAAGATTTAACAGATGAATGGAAACAAGTTGCCTTAATAGTAGATCGAACCATGTTTTATACTTTTCTTTTTATAACGCTGTTTTCCACTTTAGTTATATTAGTACTTGTTCCCGCCGCCTCTTATGTAAAAAGTGGTGGTAAATAGTTTGTGGTATTTCCTTTGTATTATAGGAATGATATACATTAGGATTGTCCCCGTAACCTTTGCACAATATAAAGAACCGAAGGTAAAATATATAATGTAGCTTGCTGTAACTTATGCATAGCTAGTATATCAATTCAGTATCATGTACAGTTTATGAAATGAAATGGGGTTTCACGACTTACTGGTTTGCTCCGACTGGGCAGTTTATAAGTGCTCTGTAGAACAAATTTACTGCTATGGATGCGAAAGAAACTTTCAAAAAAAAATTTATTATTTTTTTTTAGGACGTTTAAAATAATCGAACTCTTGATAAATCTCTACGAGCTATATTTTCATTCTAACTTTAAAGAATTGTAATTTACCCAGAAGCGCACCCGATCTTGTTCCACTTTAAGTTGTACTAAAATTAAGTATTATGATTTACCCCGAGCGATACCTGAAGAATCAGGCCAGGATTTTAAAAAATATAAAGTTGCTAAATTAACCAGCAGTAGAAACTTTATACACTCTCAATTAATCTTTTGGGATCTACTTTAAGAAGAAGACATTTGGCAAATCGGTCGTTTTTAATCTAAATTTCTTACGTTGTAATTCGGAGACATAATACATTGTAACTGTATTAATTCGAGGTCTAGCATTTAGTCTATCAGACACCTAATTCAAGACAGAGACAGTTCAGTAGTTTACGATTAAATGAAGAAATCAGGGGTTTATTTCTTCTATCCCTTCTACAGACACATAATGTCATTTAAAGTAATTTAAAACTTGATAATATTGATTTTTTATCTCACCAATAACCAATAACAATAAACGTAAAAATCTGGTAGACAATTTATATCAAAATTAAAATCACCATACGTTGTTTATTTGGTCGTTATAGTTTAATTGAAAAGGGTAAAACTAATTTTGAAATCTGAACTGAACGGATTGAAATGATTAATATAATATGGTGTTTTTGATTGTGTTTACCTTTATCAAATTTCCCCGTGTAATAAAGGTAATGTTTGTATAGTATTACATACATTACCTTTAAATATTATTTCAGCATCTGCCATTTATACTTACCTATATATACAATATAGATTTATAATAATTTAACAATTTGGCGGTATATATTATATTTTAAATAAATGATTTGGAACATAGAAGTCAGGTGTTTAAAACTTGTATTAGTGTTTTAACTATATTGAGTTTCCTGATTTTTATGTTTTTATATCTTAATTGTGTATGGCTGGCCGATTCGTTTGGTCTTTAAGCGGTCCTATTAGAAAGCGCCCTAGCCATTCTGGATGTTTTTAAGCTATTTCTGTATATTTTGCCGTCTGGTGTCCGTAATTAATCCCATTGTTATCAGCTAATACGCTGTGAAATTTCAGACAGAACCTCGAAAGACTTTACATAGAATAATGCTTACTAACATAATTATTATTTACCCTATTTTGTACATCATTATGGCATATGTTTATAGCGCTATCCATCGTTGATAGTGATATTATTTAGTTGCAAACTTTTTTATAACGATCGCTGAAAATAAAGTGATGAATAAATGAAATAACAATACGAAGCTCATCTTCAGTTCTGTTCGAATGCTAACTCAAGTAAGAACAAAGGTTTCTGACCTCAGATAGGTACTGGAGTCGGTTCACTAGAATGTTGCGACGCGGTTGAAATATGACAGCCCGCACAATCCAACAAATATATTTATGTCTCCTAACACTTAATGCAGGTATGTATCTCCTAGGCCAGTTAAGATTATTTACATGTAGGGCTACTTGATTCACATAACAAGTTTTGAAGAAGAATGAGCAGTGAACAAACGACATCAGGCTGGGGTAATCTCAAAGGGCACTGAAAATCTGACAATTCTTTTAGCTGGAAGAGCACGGGGCGGCGTTTGACAGGTAAAACTGCCCTTCAAAAAAATATAAAATATGAGGATGGACATAAACATCGAAATGGACAGTGGTGAAAAACAAATACTTAATTTGGATCTGTAAAAGAGAGAGAGAGAGAGAGAGAGAGAGAGAGAGAGAGAGATGGGGTTTAACGTCCACTCGACACAAACTAGGTCGTTTCGGGACTAACATATGGTTTAATTTTTATTTCATTAATTCGCTTGCGCGTAGGGGTCTTTAGCAGTGGGAGGAAACCGGAGGACCCGGGGAAACCCTACTCCTTGTCACGTACAACCGGAGAATCGAAACCCCGCCAGTTGACTCAATGACAGACCGTATGATACAGCGCGCGCGTGCTAACTATTCGGCCACCCCCCACCCCCCGATCTGTAAATAGACAAACAAAGTATATAATTTTGATATAGATTAGAACAGTTTGGAGGAGATATTATTCAGAAAATGTGTGAAATTAAAGGTAGATTTAGCTTAGATTGGCGTATCTGTCGTAATTAAATCATAGTCTTGCGTGTTCGGATACTCGGGGCGGCGGTGACTCAGTAAATAAGACGCTGGTTCGCTAACTTGGAGTTCTCGGGTTCGCTCTCGGTGTCGGCCGAATAAGTTCCTCGGCACGACGGGATACCTGGCAAGGATGGGGCGAAAAGCCCAAGTCCTGTGTACACACTGACGAGCACATAAAAGAACCCTTGACAGTTGGCATTCGAAATAAGAAAAGGCCGTAGCGCGCAATCGGTGCAGAAAAGTAGGACGTTAAGCCCCATTTCATTTCATGTTCGAATATTCACCCGGGTAAGACGTGGGTCACATTCAGCCAGATCGAAAAGAGCAGTGCAAACTTTGTATACAGAATGTCATTAATTTACTTGAGTGTTAGCAAAATGAAATGGCTGAACTTGTGGAAACCAACTGGCTAATTAGCATATTGGTCAGTTTATAAACATTGGAGTCAACTTAATCCCGATTCTGGCTTATAAATAAGCTAATAATGACCTGTGTCCGGCTGTTCTGAATGGACAAATAACTCCGGAGTCAAAAATATTTTTCCCTGCATTTTATACTATTTACGTGGACCAGTATCCTTTACTATTCTAAACTGTTTTACATGTTCCACGCTGAACTTTCAACAATAAAATAAACCCTAGGCTCAACTTATTATCGAAAAATTCAGAACTGGCCTACTCAAACAATTTTTCCACGAATGCGCCACGTTAACTTTTTATAATGTATACGATTTGTTCGGAATCTTAAAACGTCTATATCTCAGCTATGGGTAGACAAATCTACCTCTAATTTTGGGAGCAATCCGATTCTTACTCTCCTCCACCACCCCCAATCCCCCCTCCCCGATCGACGAAGATCTCCATGGTTCTTAGTTTTGAATCTCCCATTTGCATATACACGATTTCACATCAGCCAAACTGAGCAATCTATTATTTTGATATCTAATTTAAGATTTATGTAAACATTATTTGACTTTGGTATAGTATTCTTGATACAATGTAGTTCTTCTAGAAGGATTCATCTGGAATTCCATAGGGAAATTAACGATTGATTTGTGTTTGGCGGCCTTGACTTGTAGTTAACAGAGTGATGATCACAACCTTTGGTATATTCACCGCTTCAGGAACGACAAACTGGTTATTAAAGAGTTTCACTTAGTTTGTTAAACTTAGAGAAAATGAACTAATGATATTGAACTGGACATTGATAACGATAAAATTGGTCTTTTTGACACGTCTGCGGTGACGTGTTCAAATTAAACCTGAAATTAGTCAATTGACGAGATGTTGGTGAAATCGTCAATATCAACAGGTCGAACGTCCAATAAACACGTCAACTCGAAGGTTGGATTTCTTTAAGAAAGATCATTTTTCATTGTCACGAGCAACTTGTCTTCAGCCATGATTTGGTGATAGCCAACTAATTGAATTTAAATCAAATTCATCAACCCTAATGTAAGGAATTGGCTTATTTGTGAAGAAGAAATAGATCCATCTTCACGCGTAAAACTGCATTTCTCTTTTAAATGTTCAGATTAAGATACAATGATATAAAAAATATAAATTATTTTTCAAAGCCTATATTATCAGGAATGCCAAATTTCAAGCGATTCCGGAGTTCTGAAAGAATCTAAATCTCTTTGATTAAAGGTTTGCTTCGAAACCTTCAGTACAAATCAACATACAAAATCCAACTAAATCACGATTATTTTTTTAAATTGAAATTAAATTAAAATAATCATAGCTTTAAAATGAACTTTGTAGGAGCACACTTAAACAGTCTTAACTGACGAATATTGTAATTAACCCTCAATCAATTAATTTTAACACTATACAATAATTGGGAGGGGTGTGGGGGTCTTATTTTTTACATCATACAAAGCTTAACTATATATTACTTGGAATGTTTTTGTAAATAGGTCATATGAGCAGAAAATCCACGTGTGCTTAAGTGACAAGGTGACAGTATTGAATGTCTCTCTCTCTCTCTCTCTCTCTCTCTCTCTTTTCCTAAGGTCACCAACTTCAAAATATCTCCATCAACTAGAAGTAACATTGCGACAGGGCTGAAGAAGCATCCCATAGGTAGCCACTCGGAGACTTGTCTCCTCCATTTGTGTTGTATAGCTGTTAGAAAACGACACGCGATCCTGACTTTTGATTATACCCATTTAGTCTGTAAAGCTGTTATGGCTTCAGTGGGCTGTTTTAGATTTCCGTCTATGGCTATATGCCCAGTCTACCATCATGCAAGAAAATCAAATTACAGCTGAATTATGTCCCTACAACACCCGTAAAAGGGCCCTTGACGGTTAGATTTCCTCGAAGAGTAGGCGGAAACAACGCTCTCCCGGTAAACGTTCCCTCATAGCACAATGCATGGCGTATGTCCGTCTTCGTTATCCCGGTTGATGCAGAAAAGCAGAACGCTAAATCCCATTTCAATTCATTTTACAAAATTCATAACGTTTTTCAATTATTTAATGAATATGAATAACCTAATGATCACATTATAGATTATCTCTGAGTATATATCCCTTTACCCCCCTCAGAGATGAGTTAATTGAACTTCCGTGTACAACATTAATTCTTTCACTATTGGTTCACTAGAACATAACCTAACTTAACTAACTTAAGAACGACATAACGGGGGACCCAAGGGTGAAATGACCCAAACTGGCGATTTAATTCAACTTCAGCGTACAAATATCATCCTTCCTGCCTCTGTGGACTTACTTAGATATACCCTCCATCCTTTAAGAAAGCCCCTTTACCACCCTCAGGGATGAGTTAATTCAACTTCCGCGCACAACATTACTTTTCTCGTTGAAAGTTTCACTAGAATTTAACACTAGCTTAAGAACGCGAATTTCCATTCTATCGCGGATAAGAAGAAAGTATAAGTAGTACGAAACGCGGCTCTCGGAGCTGGGAGCTGACATAGCTGATGGACCTACAAGCTCCCGACGTCCATTCTGTTTCACCGAAATATGATCTGTAGGATTCGTCATAGTCATGTTATTCCAAGATCTTCTAAACGGATTGATATGTGTATGTTTAAAGCGCAAGACAATACAACTTTTTTGGAAAGTACTTGACTTTGAGATTTCGCTCAGATAATGCCTTTTAAAGGTTGTAGCTCTATTCACCCAGTCATGTCTAATATCTCTTTACAAGAAAGACCCTTAGTCATTGCTCCAAGCGTTGAAGTGTGCCTTAAATTCGTTTGTGTCAGTGCCTGCCGGTTGCAAAATCTTAATTAGCCAGCCAGCAATGGTGCATGAGACCACCGGTCTGTGTGGTTCAACTCAATAAAAGCTGATGTCACAAAAAATTCAATTCGATTTCTCCAAATAGCCGTTCGATTAAGACATTCCCGTAAAACCCGAACAGCACGCAAGTTTGGGCCTTCCGGGAAATCCTGTAATTCTACGAACAGGAGAAGCCTCGCCAATCCTACGCGTCTTGGTAAGTTTACTTAATTTAAAACTAATATTGTTTCCATTGTCGGTCATAAACCTAATTTCAGGTGCACATTGCTCTGACGTACGCCCTTCGGATACTAAGGCCAACATTATGGAAGTTTTCAAAGTGAGCATCTTGTGGAGGTTTAGCATTAAAAGATGCTCCAAGTAAACGCTTTACTAAAAAATGCTGAATCAACTGATTCATAAAATTCTGAAATTGCAGATCTTTGGCAGTTCTCCCTTATTGTAACATTCCGACAAATAATTAACCGCCTCTACCACAGAGGATCGAAATGGATCAACTTGTCGTCTATTGCACCAGCTACACCAATGACGGTTTCTTGATTAATAAATGTAGAATTTTGGGAAATCGTTGTCTTGTCTGCCAGACAGGGGCCACTATTGTTACAGTAGCCCGTTCCTGTAGAATTTTAAACAGATATCTCAGTATCATCACAATGGGGATGGGGGTGCGTAAAGTCCCTTTCGGTTCCATCTCCTTTTAAATGCCAAATTTTGAATCAAACCGAAATAAGACATAACTCCCACCCTAGATTTTCAATATACAACTTAGCTACAGACAGTTTTAGTTAAGTTTTGGTTTGTGTTTTGATGTCATACCAAATACGCCGGAAGGGGCGGGGGCGTTCTTAAGGGTGAAGGGAGGATCGGGGTCTTCTT